TCAATAATGTCGCAGCCAGCGCCGAGCATAGTGCTGGGAGGAGCGCATTTCCTCTCTATTGCAGAATCCGACAGGATCTGCCTGCCAGGAATCATCCCCTCGTCCACGACTTCACTTTTCATGGGGGCACCAGTCGTTCCTGTGCGCTGGGATGTCCCGTCCAGCTTTGAGTCAGCGGCTGAGCGTCATATCGTTGGGGTTCCGGCCACAGAAACCTCCCTGCAGCGCGGGTCGAGGATGTACGACGGGTGCGGCGGTTTAGAGACTCCTCTCTTGTTTGAGAGTTTGAGCTCGGAAGATCTCGCGGACCTGGAAGGACTGTTGGGTCGGGACTCGCTGGATTTCTGGCTTCAACTTCGTCATTATGCTCCGACGGCTCAGGAACGAGATACAGAAGCTCGCGCTTCCCTCGTTCAGCGGGAGATCGCTTCAATTTTGGCCCCCTTCTCTTCAGAACGTCTTGCGGAGCGCGTTTACAACACCATGTCGTTCTTAAGGCACCTTCTCGTCAAGATTCGAGATCTTCAAGATCACATTCAGCGTCTGGACGCGGACATAACCTCGGACCACGCCCTCTGGCTTCAAGACACGAACCATGCTTTGGAACGTGAGTGGACAGCCATGTGCCAGTACTGGTACCACTATGTCCAAGATGTTGAGCGTCGAAGCTCTGCGACGATGGCGGCCCAGACTCGTTTCTTCCGCAACATGGAGGAGGGTCTGAAACGTAAGGCTCAGACACTACAAGACGAGAACACTCGACTCCGAACCGAGCTGCGGGCTGCGCAAGACGCCCAGGAAGCCGCGGAGCGTCGTGCTGACGACAACGTGTTGGATCCTGACGACCTGCTAGATTTCTTAATGCGGGATGAAAGTGGCGTCACGGTCATATCCAATTGGGAGCGCCTGAGAGACATCTTCCGGCATTACGCCGAGGGCACTAAGCCTCCCAGTACTTGGAACACTCAGATCAACGTGACTGCCATGGACAACGTGCGCTACATGCCTCCAGACTACGTGAAGCCTGGCCCCCGTCCGAGGAATCCTCGCGGTGGTGGTGGGTCTGGACCCAAGCCATCAACTCCAAAGCCGGTCAGAGTTCTGGACCTGACCGGTAGCGGAGGGTCGGGGCCCTCCAACACAACGTTACGATCTTCCAGAACGCGATCATCCTCTGACACCAAACGTAAGGCGTCACAGCAACCTGATTCTGGTCGCGGTGGCAGCTCCCGCAAGTTGGAGTTTGATGTCACTGAGGAGAGACAGATGCGCCCTAAGGAGCACTGCCCCCGAGACGATCTCCCCTGCGGTCTTGACGAGGCCTTGGACTCGGTGAGGGAGGCCGACGCACAAAACGGATCCCGGATGGGCTACCCTAGGACGCCCTTCGGCAAGACGTCCGCATGTTGATGATCACAGGCCTATTGTACGAGGAATCCCTGAAATTGCAGAGACGAACCGATTCACCACCTTCTGCCTGGATACATGGTGCAGCTGATGCTGGCTCAGATGATCGATTGGGGAATCTTGGATTTTACGCCCTGGAGCAAATATGTGCCTGAGTCAATCCATCTGGATGCCGAGAGAATCTGGACCGAGATTCGAGTCGTGGATGGTCGCGGGCTTGAGAAATGGCCTTCGTTGGACAAGTGTGATCGGAAACTTCAGAAACTTAGGGATGTGGCTGCGGAGGTCGAAATGATCAACGGCGCCCTCTCCGAGTCGTCAGAAGACGAGACTCAGGACCTTTTTTCACTGAAACCGGGCGCGGAGGAGGCCGACAATGCTCTAGAGACTCGGGACGAGACTGAATATCTAGATGATGGCGCAGACGAGGACGAGGTACCGACGAACGTTACTGACACTAGTCCGAAGACTGCCAGTCAAGCGAGTTCTGGAACGCGACGCCCCTCACCAAACTCTGGCAAGAAATCCAAGGCGACATCTAGAGCTCCAGACACCAAGGTCATCATGAGAGTCAAGACGAACACCGGTCGCGCCAAAGGGGTGCGTCACCCCACAGACTTGGCCACTCGCGACTTTCAGTATCTGAGCGAAGACGAGCTGCTGATCATCGAGGTCTGTGACCGGGACGTTACCAACACCTTTCGAATCAAAATGAAGGTCTCCGACAAGGCCAGACCCTCGGCTTCCCAGATTATGAGCCACACAAACATGAGACCAAGTATCGCAAGGATCGTTGGTCTATGGAGGCATGGGATGAGTTCTTGGGTGTCGTTCGAGTGAAAATGTCTGGAACAAAAGGACATCGTGGAACTACGTCGAAGCGCAACCCCTCTGAGGCAGGGGCATACGGTTCGGGCTCAGATCCCAGCGCGTGGGAATCGAAGGTCCTCGACTTTGTGCTCCCCTGGATCCAAATGTTCGAGGGCCGTTCCAAAAGTTCTACTTCCACCGCGTCCGTGATCTGAGCAAAGGAGTCATGCGTGGAATCAGAGAATACTTGGAGTCCATGGAAGAACATGCTGAAGGCTGGAGGTACATACTACACTGGTTCAGGATGTCCATGGAGGATGATCGAGCGAAGGAACTCCATCTGTGGCGTCGCAAGTGTCGGGAGACTCTGGTCCGGAACTTCCTTATCTTACTCCAACGTTTGGAGAATATTGACAAGTTCCTCAAGACACTCTGGTACGAGCCGGGTTTGTGGATTCTTCCCAACACTATATGCTACTGGATCTTCAAGGATCCCTCGGTGAACTTCCGAACCGTGTCGGGGGTTGCTGACTTGCGCGCAGAGCTCCTGGAACTGGACGAACGAGAACCTGCGCGTACACTCTGGGCATATGCTGCGAGTGAAACTGCGCGTCTGGAACAAGTAACCAGAGGCGTTCATCTCCAAACGTCTGCTCCCGAAAATGGATCGGGAGCGTATCCGTCTAATTCAATAATCAAATATTGATATCTCACCTTGCTCCATTCTTGTCAAAGCCACATTAACGCGGGGCAGACTGCCCAACAAATCTCCATTCCATACGCATCATTCATACCGAGCTCTGGAACCACATTGCCTTAGCCAGATATCCGCGCGTGACCACTCAGTCACTATAATAACACACGACTTCTCTGAAACGAGGCACATAATGGTTGGGACCAGACTCAACTTCTCAGGATGGGAGCATACAGCTCCGCGTAGTCATCGTTCCCAGACTGCATGGCTGCGAAACGAGCTTTCGTACGTGCAGACTGGTTGAACTTATACAGAAGGGAGCCACAATTCAATTGTGAGACGGGCAACCACTGAAGTTCGTCGTATCCCTTCCACTTAATGAGATATTCGCGGATACGTTTCGCATTTCGGGTGCGCTTGGTCCATCTTAAATCCACATTGCTCCCACACATACTCCCGATGCGATCTGGTTCCCAACTATCTTCCGGCAATAAAGCCGCATCAAAATCATCTTCCTCTAAATCGTCAATCCTTAAAGACGGCCGTTTCGGAAACAAGGCGCGTGGTTTCAGACGCCTAATGTGGACCTATGGTTCTACACGATAGCCTGTGCCCTGAACCTTCAATTTCACCTTGAAATCGTCCCGAACCTGTTCAATCCTGAATGGTCCGTGCCACAAAATAAACCAATTTACGACTCAGACCTGACATAACGTTCGGGATATATAACCAGACCGAGTCGCCTACTTCGAACCCAGGCTTGAGGTGATTCGATAGCACCTTCCACTTCTACGTCTGAACAGCGGATCACGTGCGCTTGGCCCTCTTCTGGAGCTCCCATGGGCATAGCTGTAATCTCGTTGCAATTTCCGACGCCATTCGTACGCGGTACGCTCTGCAGCGTCCGTCGGTTTGGGGCCCAACATAGCTGCTATAGTACTCCGACAATCAAACCTGTGTAGTAGGTAGAACGGCGTATCCAATCTAGTCGCATCGAAGGAGGTATTGATAGCATGCATAAGCTTCTCTGGATGGTCGTCCCAGTCGGTTTGGTCGGGCTCTACAACATACGCTCTGATACTGTGCATAATTGTCTGACCCGATCGTTTCTACTGGCCATTGGCCTTAGGGCGATACGCGAGCGTTGCTTTCTGCTGGATACTCATCATCTCGCTGAAACGACGGAATACTCGACTCATGAACCGGGGATCTCTGTCATGGCGGATTTCAGAGCTTGCGCCATAGTTCCTGAACACAACCTCTTCATAGGCTCCAGCACAGTCTTGAGCGGTAGTGCTGCTCATGGGTTTACGCATAACGTAGCCCGTGAACATGTCTTGAATCAAAAGTAAGAACGTATTCCCACGTTCCGACTTCGGAAGGTGTGTAACAAAATCCATGGACACTACTTCGAATGGACCAGTCGGTTCAATGTTTCCGGGAGAGGGTCCTGGATTCGGAGGTCGCCCCTTAGCGAACGCGCCGTCTATACATTACTTGACAAACATTTCGACGTCTTGGAACATCCCGGTCCAGAAAAACTCTGAACGCAGACGCTCATATGTCCTGATGATGCCTTGATGGCTACTCTGGAAATCCTTGTGAGCGTGGTTTAGGATGTCTGATCGTAAGGCTAGTCGAAGTTCAGAACGCTTGTCCCTAGGGCGTTCCGGGGTAGGCGCAGCCAAACGATAGAGGACGTCTCTTGAGTCTAAAACATATCGGTCTGAACCCTTCGCGATTTTCTTGAGTTCCTGCCGCGTATAGTTCAACATGTCACCTTTCAGATAATCCTTGAGTCTTTTTAGTTCTGGATCCTCATTCTGATGGACTTTAAACCGTCTCCAACGTTCGTCTCGATAGTCAAGTGGCCGGCTCGGGTCATCCACTTAGGCGACCTGTCTGGAACGACTTTGGGTTGTAACTATCTTCACGGGTGTTACTGGCTCAGACACGTTTGGGACAGGGTCTGAAACGAGGTCACTTGGACGATCGCTCTTCAAACTCTGACTTGCGTCGTCTTTTCGTTCCGAGGGTTCCGGAGTCTTCATAACCTTCTCCGGGATCCTGGAGACAAATTTCAGATGCATCAGTTCATCCGCGTCTTCCACCACCCACGCTTTCCGACTGCCAATGTCTTCGTCGTTAAGTTGTCTGCTGCCTGGTTGTAATCGCGTTTGACGTCGCCCAACTGTACGGAGCCGAATTTCACTTTCAAGGCTTCATACTCAGCAAGTCGACGTTGCAGATTAGGCTGGTGGCAACCTATCAACCCTTGCCCTTGTTGGATTACGATTCTGACATCGCCGACCACAACCACATTTCTGAAACCGCGGTCAACGGCTAACTCCAAACCTTTGATCAACCCGTGATACTCTGCATCGTTCACGGTCACATCATCCAAAGGGAATCCGTGGGCGCTCAGGACATTCCATCCAGATAAACGCCACAAAATACATCCACAACTTACCTGTCTAGTGGAGACCTTGGCTGCACCATCGAAGCTCAAAACATACCCTTCGAAGTCTGAATCCAGCATCTCTACACTGATTGGCAGAGGTGCTTTGATTCGCCCCTTAGCCGGGATCAGGTTTTCAGCGACTTCGTCTAAATACTCCCGGGGGGTAATACCTGCGCCGAGGATGGCGGGTAATACATCCTCATCGCGCTGCACACGGCGTAGTTCTAGAGTCCACTTCGACAATTCTAGACCCCACTTAAGGTGACGACCGTCGGCAGAGTTTGACCTCAGTAACCACTTCAGGACCGAGTACCGAGTATAGATTACGATCGGTGTCTCTGAACCGTAGATGAGCGGACGGAATTGCTCTAAGACTCGCAGGATCGCCAACACCTCCTTCTCCGCGATGTGGTATCCGAGTTCAGACTCGTTCAGAACTCGCCCTGTAAAGCGCACTGGTTAAATGATCCCCTCATGTTTCTGTCCGAGGACGGCACAAGTCGCCCTGGGGTTTGCATGTGGGATGATGACAAACGGCTTGGTACAATCAGGATGGCGCAGCAGCGGCGATGATGTAATCTTACGTTTCAGAATCTCGAACTCTTCCTTGGCCTTATTTAAATCATGTTTGGCGTGGACACGATCCTCATCCAGCTCGTAAAGCACAGCCGCGACAACAGGTAAATCCACGATAACCTTGTTGTAGTAATTCAAGCTTCCTAAGAACGATTGAATGCCCTCCAGAGTCGATGGGAAAGGTAGGTCTTGAACACTCTTGGCAATCTTCGTGGTAGCCCTGATACGTTCGACACAGACTTCGTGACACAGATACGGTATAACTTGTTTGCCGAACTCGCTTTTCGGAAGACTAACAGAGATATTCCAGTATCGGAGTCGGAATAGCAGGGCATTCAGGTCTCCACAAAGTTTGTCCCAGGTAGGCGCCCCATGAGCTATGTCGTCTATGTAAGAGCTTCGCCCCAGAACCGGTCCCATCTGCGTCGGGGTCGGAATGTTTCGTCTGAATGCAGTCGCCTCCTTCCTTAATTCTGGAAGTCTGAAACCACCTTCGCCTTGAGGTTCTTCGATCGTCGGTCCTGTGTCTGGGACGGTCAACTCCAGAAATTCCAGGACATCTCGGTCAACCTTAGCCTCCTCCTCAGGTGGGAGCCGCACGAATCCCCAGAGACAGTTGTTGATCACACTCTGGTACACTAGCGGCGCGTTCTTGAGTCCAAAAGGCATCCGGATCCACTGAAAATGTCCGAATGGGCAGACAAAGGCCGAAATCATTTTCGCCCGCTCCGTCATCTGAATCGCCCAGAAACCGCTCGCCATATCCGAACTCATGAACCATGCCGCAGCATTAAAGCCAGTCAGCAAGTCGTCAATCAGAGGTAGGGGGTATCACGATAGCTTGATCAACTGGTTAACCAGCCTATAATCAACACACATTCTGATATCCTCTCCATTCTTCTTCAAAACGATCACGATCGGGGGTGACACTCCGATTCAGAATGCTCAATGAGTCTAGTCTCTAGGGGCTTATTCAAGCAGTTCGTAAACTTTCACCAGATATCTGGAGGCGATCTGTCGAGCGTGCAGTGCTATCGGCATCGCGTCACCTACATCTAAGTCACAAACGACTCCACGAGCTGGGGCTGGTGCGGCATTTCCATCGCCTAAAAATATACGACGATGATAATTCAAGATCTTTCGCATCTTTTCCTCCATCTCTGGGGTCGTGACGCCTGGAATGCCAACGTCGGCTTTGTCGATGTCACACTCCAGGCTCAATTCTTCTAACTCTGGAAACATAGTCAGATAACCACTCAACTGAGCCAAGAGCTCCGTCTCTTCTCGCAGATATACAGCAAGTTCCAGATCTAGCTCTTCCACTGTCACTCGCATGACACGTTCGTATTCTCGTTCCAGTCTTTGGACAGGAGTATCTGAGAGGTCCGAGGCGTCATCCATGGGGCTTGAGAAATCATCCAATGCGCTTTCAAGGACATCCTCTAGTACGTCCTCCGAGTCGAACTCTGGAACGAACTCCGAATCGTCGTTCGTTTCTGAGGCGAAATGCTCCGGTCTATTCTGGATCCCTCGCTCTTGAAAAGGTGTCTAGATCTTCTCTCCGATTCACTACGCTCCGGAGTCGCTCTGAGTCCTCTGCACCTCCCGCAGTCGACGGGTCTGAGTCCTCGTCTCGGACTCCAGGCTTGGCGAGTTGGTCAGAGACACAACTACACCGATCTGAAGCGTCATATCCACAAGAGCTATGGAAATCAACTTGGGTACCAACACCTTTAGTGCCTACTGTTCCGGTCTCTTCGACGGATGTCGTCACCGGGACGTCTGTCGGACCTTTCACCTGTAAGGCACTTACCGCTGGTTTTGGGGTGGCTGCACGTCGCGCAGCGAGGAAGACCTCTACAACTTCTGGTCGTTCCTGCAACTGTACCATCCGAACTTCTGCATTCTGAGACTTTGGGCGTCCTAGGAGTTTGGTCGGCCACTGGTACTCTGGTCGTGGCACCGCGAGGGGGTGTCTCGTAGTCGCATTAACTGCTCTAGGCGCTCAGCCCGCATCCGACCCTGACGCGATTCGGTGCTCTCGAGAATAAGTCGTTGCCACTCCTTATACCTGACCGTCCCTGGGCGAACAAATCCTGGCTCCTTCGGGAAGTGCCCGTATTCCACAATCCAGCAAGTGCAGCAAGTGCGGTCCGAGTGTTCCAGACATTTCTATCCGAAACGTTGACCACTCGGACCGCCGTAGCCCAGGACCGGACTCCAAACAGGATCTCCGTCATCCATCGTTTTCCTCGTCTGGCCCAGACTACTTCTCGCTGCGGGTTGGTCTGTCCATATTCAATTTCGCCCGGAAACAGATATAAACTTTCCTTCGCACAGACCGGCAATTCCAGCCCTCTCCGTTTCCTAGGGACGTCGTCATACACCACAACATTCTCCTCGTCCGGTAGCTTGACTAATCCTTCACGGATGCATAATCTAACTCCAACCGAATACATGAAGCTCATTCCTAGTAATACGTCCACACCTTCACCAATATTTCCGATCCAGACATCCTGAAGATAAACCACTTCCCAATCAAGGGTGATCTTGGCGCGAGAATGCGCAGCGATATACGTCGGGATTCCTTCCAGACCAGACACGTTGGTCTGTCGGTGCGTTCGAATTTTGAGACTGAGCCTATGCGCTAGGTCCAGACTCACAATACTCATCGAAGCACCCGTATCTAGGCGTATTCTCGTTTGCCGATCATTGTTTGCCCCACACACAGTCGCGATCTCATACGAGTTCTCTGAATCAAGATCTTCCCACCATCCATATCTCTGACCCGGACCCAATGCAACTTCGACCTGGTTTTCGTCAGAACTCGACCCCGAATCTGGTTTGTTAGAACGCTGATATTCAGGGTAGAGCTGCTCAGGGTAGATGATCTCGTCTTGAATTAGAGTCATGCGTTGTTGGTTATCTTGGTTTTAGTCTTTTCTTCTTCTTCTTCTTTCTGGACCCATACAAACTAGCACACACAGTTTAGCGAGGTTCTTGAGCCCATCGCGTACTGGATCCCCATCCAGCGGGCTTAATGGTTTAACTATTGCATACCTTTTCCTGTGTCCTTCGCCTGTAGTTGTCCAGTGTCTGGTTCGGCACTGCGTCGTTTAACATGCCCTGGCTCGCCAGATGCTTCACATTGAACGCTCTCCACTCCGCACACGGAATTCCAGGGTGGATTTCTCCACAGTCTGTACATCGTTTCTTTCGACAGACTCGGGCGGGGTGTCCTGTTTCAGAACAGTTCCCACAGACTATGTCTTGCCTGCAATTTTCTTCGGGATGGCCCCACTTCTTGCATTTCTCACAGAATGTGTTCAGGTTTTTCATGCGTTGTTGCTCCGGCCACTCTGAAACGCGGTATCCCTCGTACCATTTCAGGCATCGAGGGGACATAGTCATCCGAACCATATTCTGGGGTCTCTGGATCCGCCGCCTGGGGCTGTTCCTCGACCTCCGGAGTCTGAAACTGGACATTCTTTTTCCCGACGGGAGGGGTTCCAGAGTCGACATTCTGAGTAAGGAATGTGTGGCATGGCCGTCGAGGTTTGAGACCTCCGCGGGGTAAGTTGTCGGCTCTGGCATCTCGCGTCCTCGTCGGCGGCGTCTCATAGCCATCTTCTCTCCAGACATCTTCATGGCGTCTGAGTACACGCTCCACTTCAGAGATACTCTGAAACCGATGGTCTTCGAGAGCCGTCTTGAGCTGTACACCCTTGAGTTTCTTGACAAATCTGCGGTGATGCAGTTCGCGTCACTTGGAATTAGTCTGGAACGGGACTTCCGCCTTCACAGCCGCCGCGTTCAGTCTATAAAAGAACTGCAGCGCCGGCTCTGAAGATCTCATCTTCATAGTGAAGTATCGTTCCGCATAGGATACGATAGTGCGACAATACAGCTTCCTGAACTTGGTGGACAGTAGTTTCCAGTTATGGCGTGTCGACTTGGGCAACTGAGCGTACCAGTCCTTGATCGTAGCAGAGATCCGACTCCGGAACTGGCGGATCTTCATCTTATCAGGCCAGGAACCTTGTGCCGCCATGTCGGCGAAACGTTCCCACCAATTGACTCGGTCTTCCTTCGGCGCAGTGTCATTAAATTTCTCGACCGCATTGTAGTAGATATATGGCCGGAAATTCCAAACCGCATCCTTGGTCGTCTTAGATGCCGAAGTGCCGGAATCATCGTCATTGTCAAGGCTGTCCTCCGAACCGCTTGAACTGGAGTTGCTGTTGTCTCCCTCGTCACTACTCGAGTCCGAATCGTCTCCAGGGTCAGAAGGTGGTGACCCCGGGTCCTCTCTAGCCTTGTGGGCCGAAGGCTTCTTAGATTCATGCCTGATGGAACCCTTCTTTCCCGATCCAGACTTCGTCGATCCAGAGTCTCCGGATTTGAGTTGTCTGAAACCAGATTCAACGGCGTCTGAAACCGTCTGGGCCTTGGGATGAGATGGAGCTCTTCGCCTAGCCTTGGTACGTTTCACTCTAGGTTCATCCTTCACTTCTGGCAGTGTAACTTGAAGCTGGGAAAGAGCGACGTCGGTGAGGTTCTTTACCGGGACATAGACGGGACAGTCCCTAGCGTCACCTTTGATTGCAGAGGTCACACTCGATCTCTGAGTTGCCGAATTAGGGTTTCCTATAGCATTCGACTTGGAATTAGTTGTCGCATCAGGGTGGAATAGAGCCGCTACTGTTGCATGAAGATTCTGAAACTGCTGTTGGAGGCGTTGGGTTTCAGACGCTTCCTGGCATCTTCGGTGTTCTGTTCTTCAGCTGCTGGAGGCTCGCCCACTCTGCTGCGAGTGCTTCTTGCAGCGCGCCCAGGGTTCTTGTTGCCTCCACCGTCCAGCGCACGCGTTTCTGCTCAACTTCCGCCATGTGCTGTCGCCAACGTTGCTCGTACTCGGCCTGAAAACGCTCACGCTCCCGACGCGTGGCCTCCTCGACATCTTTCTTGACGCGAACTTGAGTCCGTTCAGTGTCCAGACTTGCGGGTGGCTGGTCTTCGACTTTCACCTGCTCCGCCATCACTGAGGGGGTCGTCTCCGCACGCTGTCGTCGACTCTCCATGTCCGCCAGTCGTCCAGCTAGGGCTTCTACCCCACGAATCGCGCTTTGGAGCTGGCGATCGACAACCAGGCGGGCATCAAG